TGGATGAACATCCATTGCAATTTTATAATGGACATTTCAGAAGGAAATAAAGGGAAAAGTTATGGGGCCTCTATAATCCCAAACAATTTGTGTCTGTCAAATATTCACCAACTACTGAATTATGTGTTTTGCTATCCAAAAAACTTACTTCACAATTAGCACTAAAACAACTAAGAACTGCTTCAAAAGCTTTGAATCAAAACCATCAGAAAAAAAGCATGTTTTTTTTTTTTTTTTTTTTGGATAGGAAAAAAAAAGGCATGCTAATCCACTAAAAATATGTGCATTCAAGCTCACATGGTAATCAAATAAGCTGATCTTAAACCAAAAAGTAAGGTACACACCTATGACTTGAGACTTGGAAAACCCAAAATTTTGTTGTCCCGAAGAACTGCAGAGAAATAGACAATCGTACTGGACTGTTTCTAGGAAAAATTATTACTTTTGTTTCTTTATGTGGGTCCTGAGAAAGAGGAAGATAATAGAATTATGGTTTATGTGGGTCCTGAGAAAGAGAAAAAGTTATAATAGACATTAATTTACTCATTGTATGACTGGTTTGTGAGCAAGTCATTTTCTGGCGAGTTGTTTTTTATTTTTTCTTTTCTCAGGTTTACAAATGGAGGGGAGATTCAATATTAGGACATGAGGTGCACGAGTAAATGTTCTTGTCACTTGAGCTACGAGTCCTTTGTATTTTTACCCTATAATTATGGGGGTAATTTAAGGAATTTTAAATGTTATCTACACTTGTGAAAGAAGCTATTTGAGTGTGTGCAAATAAACAAGTGCAATCACATGGTATTAAACTGTCATTAACACAAAAAATTAATATAGATACTTTGGTTCAGTTTTGGAGGTCCAAAAGTAGGGCAAATTGAATTGTAACAATAAAAATTGCGTTTTAGTTTTGCTCTATCAAAGATTACACTTTTTTGTGTGTAAAAACTGAAGGACAATGATCTAACTGGTTTCGATTGGTTGGTCTTTTGCCCACCCTTAGGACAATCTAGTTTTTTAAATTATTTTTTTAATCAAAGAGAAATTTTATTAGATAAACTTCAATGGTACAATCAAAGACATCACAAGACATCTAAAGTGCATCCCAAGAGGGCAACAAACTAAAATGCTAAAAGCAAACTAACGCGGACAAAAGCCGCACTAAAATTACTAGCCGACATCACCAAATTAACCACAAACCCAAACAAAGCCCACAAATCCAACATAATCAAAACCCTAAAACAACACATGAGCCTAAACGAACCTTATCACCACCACCTGAAGAAGCACCACCGCAGTCACATCCACCACCACATCCGTAACAGATTTGGAAAAAATATGAATTCTAACAATCTACCTATGCATAAGAGCGAACAAATAAATGAAAATAACAACCTTGCCAAAAAAACGAGATTTCTATAGACTCTTCCACTTTGATACATGAAATTGAGGACAAACTTTTTAAACTTTCCTTTTTTTGTCTGTATATTATTTACTATTGTAAGATTGATTTTTATTTTATTTTAAATCTTCAATATCGGTTTGGCCATCTCATACATACAATTCTATCTTTGCTCATGGAATTACCCTATTGAGAATTTTCTCATTCTCAAGCATCCAGAATTAGCACATCTTATTAATATACATATATATATATATTTGAATTAACGCGTCACATTTTGACAATAAAAACTTATACATAACAAATTTTGTTTACATTTACGCTACTATATTGTCACAGATAGTTCCATTTTGACAAGAAAGTTTTTGACGGCGCAGTTTAATGCGATATAGTCTCATTTTGACAAGAAAGTCTTTGATGACGTAGTCTAATGTGACAGTCCCATTTTGACCAGAAAGCCTTTGATTGTGCAATCTGATGTGATAATCACACTTCGACCATTCACTAAAAAGGAAGACTCATGTATTGGGGTTTCGCCCGGCCTTACACTGATTCCACCCCAAATCCAGAGGATCCCTTTTCTTGTGAGACCCTAGCATGTATAGCTTGATCGAACCGCGGCACCAAGAGTCAAGACCTTCTCCACCTCGACACGCATTTACTAATCTTTCACGTGCCAATCCTCCTAATTTCCCTTTTGGTCCCCCCTTCCTCTTTTACTCTAAATTCAGTTTCTATCTCACTTTCTCCTCAGTGCAAAACTCTCATCTCTTTTGATTTAGCTCTCTCATTAAGCACGGATTGCTTTCTCAAATTTATCGACCTTCTAACAAAGTTGCAAAACCCTACAAACTGCGTGAGGTAAGCTTATCGATTTCACTGGGTACTTTGGTCATCTTTCTAAGTTTTTAAAGTTCTGACCAACCCCTGTTATGGTTTTCAAATGCACGTAATCGATTTTCACTTGAACCAGCCTCACCAGTCTTTTGCTATCATGGTTCATGCCGATTCCATGGGTTTGTGTAGCAAGTCTCACTACACTCTGCATCATGAGGTAACCTTATCGATTTCAGTGGGTAATCTCTCATCTTTCTAAGTTTTTTTTAAAAAAAATTCTAACCAACTCTTCTGCTATCATATGGTTCATGCCGATTCCATGGGTTTGTGTATATCAAGGTAACCTCTCAACTTGTTTGATTTATAAATAACATAATTTGCATGCTGTGATTATTAATAAACATATATTCTCACAAAACGGCCCCTCTATTAAGGCCTGAAATGTTCTCGGACATGTTTTCTAGTCAATTTGCAGCTTTTCTTTTCAAAATGTTCTGATGATAAATATTTCATATATTCAGGGAACTTCACTTTATATTTGTGGTTAATATTTCCATGGAAAGAAGTTGGGTTATGAATTATGACGATTTAGGTTTTTAAATGATAAGTCTCTAACAAAATTTAATTAAAATAGAAAGCATGCATCACTTAAGTTAGGAACTTTCATTAATGCTTGTTAATTATATTAGAAGACACATTGCTTATATTAGGAGTTTTCATTAATAATACACTTAAATCAGTTACGGATGTGGTGGTGGAAATCATAATTAATGCTAATTGTTTTTTTAATATAGAGATGAACCAATTAAAAAATAGTTATAGCATTTATGACTCCCTAAACTAGACAGTTTGATTGGAGTTAAAAAAGTTTATAGAGAGCTCATAAAATAGATTTTATATGTTTTTAGCTAAATTTTAACTAAAAAATAGATAGCATGATTGTAGATACTTTTACTTATCATTGATTTTTGTTTATTTTTACTGTACAATTTTCTTTTGCATGAAAACCTGAAATTGTTATATCGGACTATTTACCTTTATAAGCTTCTTCTTCTTTTTGTTTTGTTTTTTTGTTTAATACAAGCGGGCTAGGCCCCGTTGGCTCCTTCATAAGCTAGTATTTATGTTCTCTTACATGTAATATACTAGAAGGATTTTCATATTTGTCAATTGAACAATATTTAAATACCAATGGGGTGTTAGTTGGATTGACCCAGGTTTTTGGTGTGCTTTCAAGTAGTCATAAGTTCAAACTCCTGTGGTATGCGTGTGTGAGTTTTTCCCTTTTCCCTTCCTAACTTTTGACACACACAAAAATAAAAATACTTAAATAAATTTCTTGCCGTATGCTAAAATTGAGAAACACTTGAATTGGGATAACACTGTTTTGCTATCTCCAACCAATCGCGATGGCTAAACTCCACATTTTTATAGGGCATTCTAATTGATTTTTATTTATATTAGAGCGGATACAATAGTAGCTAGCCCATTCTTATGGGATTCCTTTTACAATTAGAACCACAAAGACAAAGGGTACGATATTTCTTTCTAGTTTGGAACCCAAGCAATATGACCTTGGGGAAGATAATGGCAGACCGGGACGGTTCCTGGCTTAACTTTGACCTCTTGTAAGGGATGATTCTGGGGGTTCCATGCAGATGTGTCCAGGTGGCAGATTGCTACTGCGTTAGCGGTAGTTCCGTCAGCACCTTGCAGAGGCACCGCATAAGCCCTAGTTTGTCCAAAGGTGTGGCAAAAGAAGACAGCATACGCGTAGGTCAGCTTGTGACACAAAACGAAATTGCCACCTTCGTTCACGTTCTTCACGCCTGGCTTTACTGTGTAGTTCTGCAGGGTGGCTCCCTTTTCGACCTCTGTCGAGATTGCTCGAACGTTTCTTCCCAGCTTGGACATGGCAAAATCAACCATCGACTCCAAGGAGGTGGCGCAGTATCTGTCTTCTCCTCTAAGGACTTCACTTTCACAATCTTGAATGGTTTCCTGAATTACAGCGGCTTCCACAGACCCCGGCTTCATAGAAAATTTGTTGAGAATCTCTGGCAGTTTGGCGGATGAGAAGGGGATCGATTCTGCAGTTTTGCGGGGCAGGAAAGTTTCCCCTGCTATATTTCTACCCAAGCTATATTTCATGGTTGTGCCAGGTTTTATTTCCATCTCCAAGAAGAAAATTCTTTGGGTTGGGTCTTTGAGGTGCGTATCGTCGTCTTGGGTGTAGACGGAGAGAGTTCTGTCCTCGACACCGTGCTGGTTGTAACCGACAAAGTTCTTGGGTGGCTCAACTGAGTCTGCAGTATTAATGGGCAACATAAATGATGGACATGTTATTGAAGAAGCTAGCTTATAAGTAGAATGTTGGAAGATGAGCTTTTGGCACTCTAGAGCATGGTATGTGTAAATAGAAACACATACCAGGTTGGACGAGTTCACTGAGAGCTTTTGGCATTGATGTGCCTGGCAAGACGGAGTTCCAGTAGTGAAGTTGAGGTGGTAAAGTTGAGGTGGTGTCTCTGGCAGCAGCAGCATAGCTTGCCCTTGCCACCAGTGTGAGCTGCAACATTTGAAGTTGAACTGTCATTGGTATGGAAAAAAATAAAATTTGAAACTAATAATTATAAGGTTCAAATAAAATCGTAGAGAATATTCAAATCACAGGCTTACGGTGAGAAAAGCAATTATGTGCGAGAAACAGATCTCCATTTAAGAATGCAACAGAAAAGCTACTGGAATTGACAAGAAGAAACTCAGATCAAGATGTGATTAGGTGTATAGGGACTTCAAGCTTTATAGTACAGGGACCTCAACTGAAATACATGTCGTGATTAGGTGTAGGAGTTCCAGTGGCTAGAAATTTTGTTTTTCTTTCTTTTTTATGGGAAAGAGGGAGAGCATGCAGTGGCCTGAAGTTTTTGTTTTCTTCTTTTTTTATGGGAAAAGTGGAAAGCATGCATTGGTCCGAAATTTAATATTACATTAGTTGTCATGCTTAAGTCATGCTTAGTTGTCATGCTTAAGTCATGCTTAAGAGAACATTTAATTTCCAGTTCCTCTGCATGTCAATTGAAAGTTGGAAGAACATGGGGCTCTTTGCGACCTTTTCATGGCCGATTAAAATCAATATAAAGCTGTTGTGCTTGATCCATATAGACTGGTCAAGATGTGTTCCAAAGCATATTAGGTGATGATCAAAGGGGCAATGCCAGGATTTTAAGTTAATTATAGTCTAACTGTTAATTATTTCTCTAATGAAGGCCACTCAGACGTTAACAAGTAGTTCTTAGGCGCCTCCTTTCCCATAAATCAATCACAACCTTATGGCATTCTATCTTTTATTTATGGGATTCTTCTTACAACTAGAACCACAAAGGCCATTTCCAAACTTACCTTTTTTTTCTATTTTTTGCCAAATAACTTGCTTGGTTGAATCCTAGTCATTGAGTTTTATTTATAGAAAATTCAATTTTATTATTTTTTTTATTAAAAAAAAAAAAGAGAGGAAAACAACCCCATATTCTTAGGGCATTCTTATTGCTTCTTATTTATGGGATTCTTTATTAGAACCACAAAGACAAAGGGTACGATATTTCTTTCTAGTTTGGAACCCAAGCAATATGACCCTGGGGAAGATAATGACACACAGGGACGGTTCCTGGCTTAACTTTGACCTCTTGTAAGGGATGATTCTGGGGGTTCCATGCAGATGTGTCCAGGTGGCAGATTGCTACTGCGTTAGCGGTAGTTCCGTCAGCACCTTGCAGAGGCACCGCATAAGCCCTAGTTTGTCCAAATGTGTGGCAAAAGAAGACAGGATTCTCATCGGTCAGCTTGTGACACAAAATGAAATTGCCACCATCGTTCACCTTCTTCACGCCAGGCTTTACTGTGTACTTCGGCAGGGTGGCTCCCTTTGCGATCTCTGTCGAGAATGCTTGAACGTTTCTTCCCAGCTTGGACATGGCGAAGTCAGCCATTGACTCCAAGGAGGTGGCGCAATATCTGTCCTCTCCATTAAGGGTTCCACTTTCACAATCTTGAATGGTTTCCTGAATTACAGCAGCTTCCACGGGCGTTGGCTCCATAGAAAATTTGTTGAGAACTTCTGGCAGTTTTGCGGAAGAGAAGGGGATCGATTGAGCAATTTTTCGGGGCAGGGGACATGCCCCATTTATATTTCTAACTAAGCTATATTTCATGGTTGTGCCGGGTTGCATTTCCTTCTCCAAGAAGAAACTTCTTTGCGTTGGGTCTCTGGCAGCAGCAGCATAGCTTGCCCTCGCCAACAGTGTGAGCTGCAACAGTTGAAGTTGAACTATCATTAGTATGAAAAAAAAAAATATATATTTATTGAAATTCATAGAGAATTTTTAAAACACGGAGCTTACGGTGAGAAAATCAATTATATATGTGAGAGGCAGAACTCCGTTTAAGAAATTCAAATATGCAACAGAAAAGCTACTGGATCGATGGAATTAACAAGAAGAAACTCAGTTCTAGCTGATTGTTTGGTAAACACACTATGTCAAATTTTACTTTACGCAACACTACATAGGCATTGGTGAAATGAAAAACCGATGCTATTAGTATATTAGGCATCGATTTTATAAATAATAAAACTAAAAGTATATAAAGGCATCAACACAAATTTTTGGTTTTTCCTACCGATGCCGTTGATTATATTTAGCATCTATCATATAAATACATTGACGCATGAAATAGTTTTGCAAAAAACAAATTTAAGTAGTACATTTAGCACCGATGCCAAAAGCATAGTTGACCGCTATAGTGATTTTTTGCTAAAATTTTTCACTCCCTCGTGAATATTTAAGACTCCCTCTTATATTTTTGGCCAAAAATTAAACTCCCTCTCATCTCTTTTGAGATACCCAGTCATAGTCACTCTCATCCTTCTCACCTTCAAACTCCCTTTCTTCTCTCTTGTGATACCCGCAGTCACCCTTAACCCTATCTCGCTATACCCACAGTCACAATCACTCTCTCATCCCTCTCACCTTCAGCATCTCTCTTCTTCACCGATTTCTTCTATGTGCTCCATCTCTGTCGTCATCTATTTCTAAACCCTAAAAAAGAGAGCCATGGAAGTCTTCCTCGTCGTCGAGAAGAGCCATCGGAGTCCCTTCATTAACCTTCGTCGTCAGCGTCCTCTTCCCCAACGGAGTCCTCTTTCTCGTCATCATCGTCCTCTAGGTGAGATTATTTCAGTTATGATGCGTTTGGATGAGGGAAATAAACTTGGGATTCTGACAAAACTCAGAATTTCTAAATTGCCATGAACCAATTTCGGTGTTTGGATTAAAAAAAACATAGAAATTTAGAAATTCAGCGTGGAGAAAAAAATGGAATTTGGAGATCATAAATCCCAAGTTTAAATTCTATCTAAAAGTCGTTATTTCTAAAATCTCAAGAGAAATTGAGTTTTAAAAAACGATAACATTACAAATAAAGGTTAAATTCCGTGTTTTAAATCAATCATCTAAACAAGAAACTTTACAAATTCTATAACATTAATTTCTGTCATTTTAAATTCTGTCAATTATGAAATCCTTTGTACTTTTAAATTTCCTCATCCAAACGCACTGTTAGGGTTTCAATTTATTGGGTAATTTCTGGATTGTTGTCTCTTTGTCCTTCTGTCTAATCTTACTTTATCTTGTATATTTGAAGCATCAAAAAGAAAAAAATTGTAGTCTTCCAGACAAATTTCTTCTTCTTCTTTGCAGACAAATTCACGCGTTTAACTATTTATTCTATATATTCTTAGAAAGCTCTGTTAAAATATATTTATGCAGGTTGTTGGTGCGAACAAAGGTGGAGTGGTAGCTGTGGTTAGAGGTTTTGTTCCTTTCTCACAGATATCGACAGTTAGTTCTTTAACCTGGCTTCTAATTTTCCAAGCGTCTTCTTAGCTTGATATTTACAATATCTTTCTGATTGCATTTTCTTATGTGGTAAAATAATACAGTTGTAACTTGTAAGTAATAATAGCCAAAATGAACAGGCAGTGATTCTCCATTACATTTTCTTGTAGTCTGACAGGACAAGAAAAGCTAAGTTTTATCATGTGTTTGTGATTTGTTCCAAACATAATTGTACACTTGTTAGCTTTCCTGAA